TCCATGTAAGGATCTTTGTAATGTGGATCAAGTATAGTCACGACGAAGTGCAGAGGATCAGAATAGATCTGAGTCAAACCTGTGCAGACAGACTCTAGGAGTCGCCTTTTCACCCCCTCACTGAACACTGAAAAAGATTATTCTGATAAATTAAACCTGACGTGGAGACCCCCCCATTAAAATTATTAAAATTTCACCATTACACGTTTGTCAAATCTCTATCCGTGGGTCTTTCTCAGATATATTGAAATATGTCTACACCGTCCACTGTGCTTTTATAGAAACAGCTCTGATGAGACGCCCCCCCCTTACATTAGAATTTCATCAGTTTTTCTCTTTGTCTCTTACTCACTTACTCAAGTTTTATTTGCAGAGTTTAGATTAAAGAGTCTGTGGTTGAAAAGAAAAGTTCTAAAGGTTTTTCCTTTGAAGACTTTGTTATCTGCAGAACCATTTTTTGTGTTGAACTGTTTAGACTTGGTGAATTTATATCCTTCAGAGAAGTGCAGATTGAAGCAGTTTTCTGTGATGGAGTCACATCGTCTGCTGTCTTTGGAATAAACTGAAGCTGAAAGTGAGGGGGGGTAGGCCTGTCCTGAGGGTTGGTGAGAGAGAGAGAGAGAGAGAGAGAAAGAGAGAGAGACAATGGAACCAAATTGTGTCTGTTTCATCAGTCTGTTTGACTGACTTCTGCTTCTTCTCCTCCTCCTCCTTCTTTTTCTTCTGTGTAATCCTTAGAGCAGATATGTCAGTCTGTGAAATGTGGGTCACACCCATCATCACAGAGCGTGTGCAGCAGCTCCACCTCCTTCCTATTGGCCTATTTTTATGAAAATATATAAATATATATTTTAGTTCTCCTGGAGTTGACAGCCTGTGCTCTGATGTTTGTGTTGTGACTCAGAATCCCATCTCTGTCAGTCATGTTAAAATTCCCATCAGGAGCGAGTCGGCTCAAGCACCAGTGCCGCGCCTCAGCTCGGTTCCACACCTAGGTTCCTCTGCAGGCCTGCAAGAGCTGCACAGCCTGGAGGCACAGACACGTCCGACCAATCAGGAGCTTGCGTTGGAGTCGTTCTCATGTAAATGTTCTTTGGTGTCATTTGTCAGATTCTGTCTCACCCCGAGACACTGGGTGTCCCTCATATCTCTACTGTATCTTATGGTGTTCCCCAGGGATCGGTTCCTGGGCCTTTGTCCTTCTGTGTCTGAGTTAATGGACTCAGTGATTCTGAGGCTGTCAATCAGAGATTAATCACTGAAACTGATCCTAATATATGCAGATGCCGCTTGATCTCCCTGCTTCACACAAACAAACACACACACACACTCATGAATACAATCTGTGTGTGTGTGTGTGTGTGTGTTTGTGTGATGCCTGTACGGTCCCAGTGGAGATCACTTCAGCTCGGTTCAATGAAACACACACCAGACAGTTCTTTGTTTTAATTGTTGCTCAAAGCTTGTTTTCAAATCCACCTGACAGTCATGCACACACACACACACACACACACACACACACACACACACTCAATGTCCATGTATAATATGCAAATAAACCTCTTCCTCTCAGGCAACACGGATTTCTTCTGATTGAGTAAATTCCAATTAGGATTAGTCTGGGTTTTTTCCTGCATCTCACCAGAGGAGGTGCTGTCGTCCTGGAACCAACGATAGACAGAACGATAAGGCCAGATTAGTGCTGCTGTGACGGCGTGTGACTGTGAGGGGGTGTAGGGGTGAGGATGAAACTTAATTATCAGGTTGCCTTTCTGTGGCGGGGGCCGTCGTGAAGACACTGCTGGATAATAACACACTTCCAGGTTCTTGATTGTCCATTTGATAGATCCTGCAGCTGCGTGTAGAACGTCCTGCAGCGCTGCAGGAAGTGTGTGTGTGTGTTGGAGGAGTAAGTAGTGCAGCTGCAGATGAATATAATTTGAATAAACAATCTTTTAATTACTGTAGACAGCAGCCCTTTCAGTCTAAATACTCTGCAATCAACGCTTGATAAGTCTAAGAAATACCCAGAACTACAGTACTGCAGTTCACTGATATTTCCGACTGACCTATCACAGCTGTTGTTCACACCGCAACACGGGCAGTGTTTTTGGGATCACTGTGTAACTGGAATTGTTTTGTCCATATAAATCTGAAATAGTTCCATATCTCCTCTTAACCTGCAGATCTGAATACTGCATACTGCATACTGAATACTGAATACCCCCTAGATATGAGCTTCCAGAAACTCCAGTACTCCGTGGTATAAGTCTGCAACTATTGCAAGATTTTCCTCGTGATACGAGGAAATATCTAGTTACTAGTGCTTAACCGACAACACAATTATATTCACAGTAGATTTGTATAATAGCGTCACAGAGCGAAGTCAGCGTGAGGAATCAATTAGCTAATAGTACACCGAGTACGCATTGTATTGGCCAATAGTATTAGTATTATTATAGTATTAGTTTTTGCTATATTTTGCGATATAGAGAAAATTTGATGTACTGAGGGAGCGAAAGGGAACACTGTTTACATGTATATAGTCCTTGTTTTTGATGTTTAGATGAGGGGAAAATACATTTTTAATTTTAATTTAATTAATTAATTGTTTATTTCTGGGGGGCTGGAATGACGTTTTTAGTTTTTTTTAATGCGGAACATTTGATCGACATACGAGTCCAAGTGTGGACACAATGGTTGGCTGACAGTGGCTGTGATAATGTCTGTGTTAAAGCTGCTGGTTAGAAAGATTTAACGTCTGAACTACCGTCTCCCTGGTGACACACACACACACACACACACACACACACGAACCTCAGCTGTGTTAATGAGTCAGTGTGTGGCCTGGATGAAGTGTAATGCTGTTCTGAAGCTAGTGTGTGTTATTCAAACCTCTTTTGTGTGGCCTCATGCACACACACACACACACACACACACACTCATGTAGACCATTAGAGTCTTACTGGTCCCTGTGGTCCTCTCTCTGTGGCTCTCTCTCTCTCTCTCTCTCTCTCTCTCTCTCTCTCTTGGTGGTCATTAAACAGCAGCCCTGCTTTCATTAGGACGCAGCTCCAATCCACTGAACACCAGCACACAATTAGCTCATTCACTTAAGGCAGGTTAATGTGTGCGTGTGTGTGTGTGTGTGTGAGAGAGAGACAAGAGAACACATTATTGCTGTTGTCCATCATGTTGCTGCTGATGCTTCAGGTCCAGGTTTCTCTGTCTCCGTGACAACAGATTTTTTAAAAATATTTATCTCAGTAGAAGGAGCAGAAAAATCTTTTCTCCTGGTTTGACTTGACTCTTACTTTTGTTCTCACCACTGAGGAGCAGCATCAGGTTAAAACTGGTTAATGACAGACACGCCCACTGGGCGGAGTCTTTTCATTTTCATTATCTCGTGGAACAGTTGAGGGTTATCTCACACACACACACACACACACACACTGGTTCAGATGGTACAGATTCATGTGGAGGCAGCAGAGCAGGGTGTCTGCACGAGTCACATGTTCAAGTACAGCTTACACATCAGGCTGGTATTAGAGATGTGTGTGTGTGTGTGTGTGTGTGTGTGTGTGTGTCTGAGTCCCTTTGTTGTCACTGTTTCCTCATCAATATTCACAGCTGCTGTGGTTCTGCTGGAAATGTCATGTGGACCAGTGACAGCCACTGTACACCACCACTCAGATGAACCCCAACTGCTGTTTACACAGTAGGATGGATCTCATGGTTCCGCCTGGTTCTCCAGGCCGGTTCCTCTGCAGATGACAGGCCAACTTTCTGATAAATGGTTAAAATTCATTTAAAACACCGCTATAATACATTGTGATTCAGGGAGGATAACTGTGATATGGGGCCGAGGTCCAGTCCAGTCCAGTCCAGTCCAGTTGTCTTACACTTGTAGGGCAGTGACATCACATCTTTCTGTGTTGTTAGGTCCTGGTGAACATCTACTCAGCTCTCTGTTCTGACAGGTCATTTTATAATCACATTACCATCTCTCTCTCTCTCTCCCTCTCTCTCTCTCTCTCTCCTTCTCCATATCTCCCACCCTCTCTCATCCATAAAGCTGATTATTGATGCCTGTTTTCCATCAGGCAGAGTGCTCTGAGGTTCAGTGTCTGCTCCTCTCCTCCTCCTCCCCTCCTTCCTCCATCACTACAGATAATTTCATCACAGCTTTGCTTTGTGCTGCTGTAGCTTGTTTAGCACAATCAGTATACTTGTGTGTGTGTGTGTGTGTTTTAGTGTACATTGGTGTTCTTGTTACTTTTACCTCCCCCTGGCCCCCACCATCCTGGCTTATTGTGTGCAGAGACCCCCCCTCCTCCCCCCCCCCCCCCCCCCCCAGGGCTCAGATAGCAGCTCACGCTCACGTGTGGAGAAGCTGACAGTGTAATGTAATAAAGTGTCAGATGAGGGTTTTGGACCAGCATCACTTTACATCAGAGCTCTGTGTGGGCGGCCAGACTGAGTACTTCTGAGTATTACTACACTCACATATAGTTCTGTGGTTCTGCTCTTCATATTCACACAGACAAAAGGTCTGTGAAAGCTAAAGGTCAGTCTGAGGAGGTGAGGTCGGGGGTGGTGGAGGTCATGAAGTTCAGTAGAGGTGATAATGCAAAGACTGGTGTACAAATGTACACATTAGAGAAGTTTTCAACAAAAACCCCGTCAGGATTTGGAGGTTCTTTTAGGGCTGTGGCTCAAAGGGACGTTCTAGGGTTGTGAGTTTGATTTCAGACTGACGGTTACTGCCTTGCTGTCAGTATAAAGCACCTCAGAAGTACACACCCTTTAACGTCATCGGCCCCTCCCCTCCTCCCCCAGTTAATGATGACGTCATCTTCCACACATCCACAGAAAATGACAAAATGACAAAAATCTTCGAATTACAATGTAAATAATAATAATAACATTAATTACAATAACAATAATAATAATCTAAACTGTTTGACTGATGTTAGGGTCTGTTTTTCTTTGTCTTCCAGAAGGAGCTGAGTCTTCCCAGGAGAGGCAGTTTGTAAGTACCCATCATGCCTTGGGCTTTTTTTCTTCAGTCCTGAGGTGGATGATATAAGTGTATGTGTGTGTGTGTCTCTGTGCGTGTGTGAGCAGCAGTGCAATGAACCAAACAAGGGGAATTCTGGCTAACCTTTAGCACTGTTGAGCTAACTCTTCTGCATGTCCACCTGACACCTGTGTTCCTACGTCCTCTCAGCTGTTTGTCCCTGTCAGGTTCTGCTCAGGTTCTTCCAGTAAAGTGTTAAAGGCCAATGAGTTTTCCTGTGTACGTGTGTGTGACATGGACGTGCATGTCTCAGAACAGCTGAGCATCTCACTGTTGATGGATTTAAGTCTATTTATATCAGTGTGTGTGTGTGTGTGTGTGTGTGTGTGTGTCAGTCAGTTAATTTCTTGTCCTACTCAGAAGGTGCAGCAGGTTTGGAACCACAGAAGGACTGACTCTGGTTTCTGTTCTGTTCTGCTTGTCCAGTACTCATCCAGTGCTTGTGTTTAACAGAGGTCAAACCCATGTCCTTCTTTCACCCACCACAAGAAGGCGCTGCTGTTCAGGATTTTTCATCAGATTTTTTTCTGATGTGCAGAAAAACTTTAACCTATGACAGATGTTTTCTCTGTCAGAAATCCTGGTGTTGGTTGTTCTGGTGCAGTGGTCAGTGGAGGTACTGCAGCTGCTTTAGAATTGAATTTTCACAAGGATTCTTTTCTTTTCTTGAACTTTGAGAACTTCTTCTGACCAGAAAGAATTCTTCCATTTAGAATATATTTGGTAAATCATAAGATTTTTATTATGTAATTACATGACCCTGGTGTGTGTGTCACTGTGTGTGTGTGTGTGTGTGTGTGTGTGTAGTGAACCATGTGAGCCACATTTAGCTCACCAGTGTGTATCTGTGAGGTTCTGGGAAGGGTTAGAGCAGCTGCTGTATTTACTACAATAATCAGAGGACAAAGTTCTCTGGTGTCACTGTGTCACTGACACAGTCATCGGTTCCATCTCAAGTTCCTGTATTCAATCAATGCACCAACCTGAGGACAAAGGTTTGTCAGCTGTATTTTTAGGTTCACTACTTCAGAAAAGTGTAGTATTTACTGCAGCCTCAGACTGGTGTCAGAGTATTACTGTGTACTGTGTACTGTCTACTGTCCTGGGCTAACTATAGGGTGACCCCGTACAGGGAAACAGTCTGTGTAATAGTGCGGCAACAAAAGCTAAACGTTAGCAATTATAGCAACAATTATTACCAAAAGAACCCAATAATCCAGGTGTTAGTCTGGATTATGACTGACAGCCTACAGGACAGTGGTGAGTGAATATAAAATTAATAACAACCACATCAACTCTGACGATGTGGGACAGTGAACACTCCCAACCCTCTTGCACCTCCTCCTCTTTCTCCTCTCTGGTCACTTGACACTGAGTTCACAGCTGAGACGTGTCCAGAAACAGAGAGGCAGTGAAAGGGCAGTTCTGACCCAGGGAAGGCTCACTGATGCTGGGTACATGCAGGCTGGAGTCTCCCTCAGCGGGAGCAGAGGTCGACGTGTGTGGACTGATCTGAACCACTGATCTTAGTCTGATGACACTATGGAGCTGCACAGGAAATGACTTCACAGACACTTCCTTCTCTTTTATTGGTGGATTATTAACCCTGTAACGACGTGCAGTATGAAGATGAAGAGTACAGACACTGTGTGTGTTTTTGTGACTCAGTAGGACCGTGTCTGCCACTGGAGGGACACTCTATCCCAGATACCTTACATAACTTTGTGTGTGTGTGTGTGTGTGTCAGTGGGAGTAGATTAGAGCAGGTGCTGACCTCACACACTCACTTACTGTCACACTTCCTTTATACATACACACATACACATATATAACACTACAGTGGCTGCTTTGACTCATGGACGGTCAACACACGTCCAGGTTTTTACTCCTTTGGAGGACATTGGTTTTGGGTCAGTCCATGTCTCTGAGGGACACATGAGGATCTGATGCACCCTGGTGGATTACTGGAGATTACGGAGAAGTCTTTTGTCCTGGGACAGGGGATGAAGAGGAGGAAGGAGAGAGGAGGAGCTCCAAACCTCCGACTGCAGTAAGACACAGACCTGTGTTAGAACAGGGACTCACAGTAGTGTTCTATATGATATGAATTCATTCATTAACCCTCTACCACCCCTTGTCCTCTGCTGTGGATAATGAACAGTTGTGGGTGTTGACCCCAGGGCCCCACCCCTTGTCCTCTGCTGTGGATAGTGAACAGTTGTGGGTGTTGACCCCAGGGTGTCAGTTTGACACTAACACAGGTTTGTTTTTTCAGTCACTGAGGTTTTACTTCATTTTTAGAATTTTTTTCCTTAAAGTTTTAGTTGTATTTGGCTAACCTTTAGCTGCCTCTGGGTTAGCTTGTTGTTAGCATGTTTTTTTATTGAATTCATGTCTAACTTTTTACTCACTCTTTTGCTCAGTTCAATGCTTAAAACTTAGATTGTGATTTTGTTCAACTTGTCATTAGCCCACTCCCCTGCCCCCCATATTTAGTTGTTTATTTATTTAAAACCAACCAATAGAAGGCTCTGGTACTGTGGTACTAACCCTATCTCAGTGTGTAGTTAGTGATTCATCAGCTGACCCTGTTTTTTGAATGTATAAAAATCTGAGCTCATCACTGAAGTCCTCAGTTAGAGATCACTGTGACAGTTTGGTTTGAAGTGAGCTGAGTGTAAACACTTGGCCTCAGCAGCAGCAGCAGTAGGAGCAGCAGCAGCAGTAGGAGCAGCAGCAGCAGTAGTAGCAGCAGCAGCAGGAGTAGCAGGAGCAGCAGCAGCAGTAGCAGTAGCAGCAGCAGCAGGAGTAGCAGGAGCAGCAGCAGCAGTAGTCCTCATTAGACCTGAGTCTCGTGGACGGTGCGTTGTCTCTAATCTGTTGATGTTGAAACACCAGACATCTGAGGACATCTGAGTCTTCTCATGTGTGTGTTGTGGAACAGTCCAGAGGTCAGGAGGTCACAGGGCATTGACCTGTCTGAGGTGCCTTCACCTACTTGGCGTAGACTTAGACTAGGGCTGTAAGAAAATATCCAATATTGTGATGTCAAGATTAGATTGTTTAAAAAAATGTCAATATGTCATTGTGTCTATATTATTGCTGTTTATCACAACAGATAGTTTCACTGACCTTTGACCTTTGACTGATCTTCATTACTGACTCTGAGCGAAGCTCTGATTAATTGATGATGTCATTAATATATTTATTTGTGATCAGCCTCTTTACCCTGACCCCACAGATGGCTGTGTGTGTGTCTGTGTGCGTCTGTGTGTGTGTGTGTGTCTGTTTCATGTGCTGGAAACACTCCACATACTAAATAAGCATGGCCTTGGTCCAGCCAGCAGGTGGCCTCACCCTCTCTGGCATGGGGGAGGGGACACATAGACCACCACCATACGGTCCTAGTGCCCTGCAGCTCAGAGCCAACTGTCAACAGATCTCTGCAGAATTAAAGGCTGGTTTTTATTTTTTGTGCTGAAACTTATATGTCATTTATTGTAGCAGTGATTTTCTGACCTCTGATCAGACTAGAGGACAGAACTGTCACTCCTCTCATTTTTTACTGTGTAGACTAGGGATGCACTGAATATTCAGCCACCGAAAAGTTTCACCGAATGACTTTTATTACTAAAACAAAGCGGCTGAAACAGGAAGTTATGATGACGCAAGCAAAACCAGCGGCCAGTGTGGGCATGTCTGAATTTACCAACATGTTGGTGTGGACGTATTTCAATATATCTGAGAAAGACCCACGGATTGAGATTTGCAAAACGTGTAATGCTGAAATTTTAATTATTTTAATGGGGGGGGGGGTGTCTGAACAATCATTTTAATTTCGGTGCATCCCTTGTATAAACTAAATGTATTTGTTGGCTCAGAATCTAAAAAGTCCCAGAAGTCACTGGTCTGGGAGGAAACAGCTTCAGGATGGATGGATGGATGGATGATATGGATGGATGGATGGTTCTGGTTCGGTTCTCAGTCCTCATCACTCACCCCTCTATGCTCACCTTTCCATCCTCACCCCTCTTTCTTACCATTACCTCCCCCTTTCTCTGGCAGAATCTGGTCGCCTGCTCAGTTGCGTTGCCACAGCAACAGCAGCCTCCTCCTCCAGCACCTGCTGTCCCCCACTTCCTTCCACCCCTCGGCCTCTCAGCCTTCCTTTCCTTCTACCTCCTCTTCCTCACCCTCTCTCTGCTGCTCTGATGGCCCTCTGTCAGCCCCTGTTCACCAGCGGGGAAACCCCTTCCTCTGGAGGTAAGACTCTGACCGTGTGCCCCCCCCCGTCTCCCCCCTCCGTCCCCCATGTATTTTTGTTGGAGTTCAATGTTCTGGACTCATCTTGGAAATTCTTCAATGTAATTAATTTTACTGAGAGCTGTGAAGTTGATGTGTCGTCAACACGTACAATAAATAGAGCTGCTCGACCAATGAGAGCGTTTTGGGGGCAGGGCTAGCACCATAAAGTGTAGAAAGGAACTCTAACTGGAGCTTTGTGACATTTTCTTATGACCAGAGTATTTTAAGTCTGAACAAATATCATACAAATAATTCACCGTCATCACAGAAAGTAGAAGATCATGTGGTTAAATATGACGTCATCAGTCCAAGGACATTGACTCCTCTGTATCTATTACTAATGTCTGAAAGATGATCTAAAGATGATTCCCTGACCTCCCATCTCCGTTCCTATAGAGACATCTGATCCGTCCAAACCTGGAGGTCCTTCTCCAGGAGTGGACACTTCCACTCAGATCTTTTGACAAAGTTACCTGCTGGTTCAACAGGAGCCTTTCAAGGGTAAATTCAGACATTTTAAGGTTATTTGGCAGTGAGCTTCTCCACTGTTCAGGAAGAACTGGAACATGTGGTGATGAACATCTGGACGGTGACGGAGGTTCAGAGACGGAGCCAGTTAGAGCCTCACTCTGACACGGAGAAGAAAAGACCATCGGAGCGTGAAAGAGATGGGAGGAGGGAGTGTTGAAGGGGGAGCCGGGGGGGACACCGCTGAGTGGAGTCAGAGGAGGAGGGAGAGAATCGGAGGAAACAGACAGAGGAGAGAGTAGGAGCAGAGACAGATCTCTGTTCGCCGTGGTCTGTTAGCTCTGCTGCCGCTGCTCCACAGCGATGGTCCAGCGTCTGCGTTAACGTTAGCATGTCGTCCGACTCCTTCTGGACGGTGCTGTCTAATTTCTCGCTGCCTGAGAGGAGCATGCTGCGGCGCTCTAAAAGGTACAGCCTGTGATCGGTGACATCGTCACTCGTCTGTTTCTGCCTTTGACTCAGCATCGCCTCATTCACTTCATTCTGTGATGTCTTCTCCTCGCTGCCTCTCTCCTTTTCCTCTTCTTCTACTTGTCAATTCCTGTTCGATGTCCAGCAGGAGTTTCTCCATCTTGAAGGTCATTGACTCAGTCTGGGTTTGAGCCTTGAACTGATCGTATGCGTGCGCGTGTGTGTGTGGTACTGCTGGTACCATGTACCATTTGGAGTGTGGGTTCCAACTGTGACGTTGTCTTCAGGTGGAAGACCAACTTCTAGGTTGTGTCTTTTTAAGAACCCAAGGCCTGTCTGCCAATTATGGCAGCAGACACTGGAACAGATTCAAACCTGGCCCGCAGTGTAATTATATTTGGCCCGCGAGATCATATCAAATGTGTACTAGAGTTCACGCAGTATATAGTCCCAGGATTTGTAGTGTTAGTGGTGTTTGTGCTATGTTAAAGCAGAAACATTTTGGGGGGTTTTTCTTGTTGTTGGCCTGTGAAAAAAGATTTACGTTAAAAAGAACTGGAAAGGCTACAGATAAAGAGACATAATAAAGAACAAATACCACTGATGTGTGTTTTATTTCAAATTTAATTTCTCATGTGTTTATAATGTTAACTTTTAGTTGTTCCAGATTCAATATTTACACAAAACCAAAGTTTGTTTCCAAATGAAAAAATCTACATTTCTGATCTGCAGAGAAGGGAAAAGATGAAAATTTACAGTCAATGTTTCAATAAATGTGAAGTATGGCCGCAACTTTGTCCCAGTTTTTAATTTTGGCCCACCGTGAATTTGAGTTTGAAACCCATGCTGTGGTTCTTTGAGGAACCTGCTGACCTGAGGTCACCGTCATCACCTGATCAGTTTGTCTGGATGAAGTGAAAAACTTGGCTTGTTGTGTTAAAATATTACTTTTTGACAATAGTTTGAATAATAATTATGATTTATTTTCAACCAGTAGAGCTGCCCCCTGGTGGATTTGCATCAGAACTCCTGACGCTCTAGTCATCACTGTCATTCACACATGGTTCTGTCCTGTTCCTCTGACCCTCGTTCTCCTCACCTCAGTAGAGATCTATTTGGACATGTTGACCCCTACCCTGTGAACCAGACTCTACTCTAGACTAGATGTTGGACTAGAACGGTCATGCCCCCTCTTGGGGACAAAAATGTTTTTACAACCCAGCGAATTTAAATACTATTGAGAACCTGATAACATGTATATTTTTATCTGTACAAAACACTATATGGGCTGCTGCCACCTAGTGACTGGAGGCTTGTTATCATTCAAGCATTACAGCAGTGGTACACTTATGTCCAGTTTGCCATATTCAATTGGAAGCCTGTCACGGCCCCCCGTGCCCCCTCCCCCACTATTTTAGGAGTACTGGACTGTTCTTCTTGTCCAGAACACTGGTGATGGAGCAGCTTATTGACCATATGTAGTGTGTACTCTACAGTACATACTCTCCTCCAGGTTACCAGTGTAGTTAATCCATTTGTTCTGGCTCTGCTGACCACTCTGGGAGTCTGACCCATATCTTATCTAGATCTGGCTGAAAATCAAGGTCAGGGCCCACTGCCAATGTGGTATGGACTACAAGGAGGCCGTGCACCACATATTGACAAACCCTTATTCAAATACCTGCAGCTGTTAATGACTTCATACACAGTGTAGTCTTTGATCATTTGTTCATTTACAGGACACACACGACTGAACCCCCACATGCTGTGCTCTCTCTGCTGATGCCGCTCATCGTCAGCAGATGGCAGTAGTCACCCACTCCCAGCAGCCATGTCCACATGAACTCATTATTCTTCAAGTTCATATGATAATTAGATTCAACCTGGCATAAATCAAACACCTAACACCCCCCTTCACCCATCACACTCCCCTCCTCACACATACACAACACATGTGCCAGTTTGTGACCTTTTGACCCCTAACCTTGGCAAAAACTCAGTCCAGTCCAGGTCCAGACCAGGTGTCCTGACCTTCTAGAAACAGTCTGTTCTTTAAGAGCCCCTTCATTTATCTCTGTGTGATTGTAGTAGCGTCTGTGTGTGTGTGCGGGGGTATCCACTGGGGGCTTTATCAGCAGCACTGCCTCTGTGTCAGGGGTCAGACTGATTAATTGGGGCTCACATACAGTAAAAACACCAGAGACCCCAGGGACAGGGGGTCAGCCAGGTAACATCGGTACCAGGGACAAAGAACCTACGGAACAGCAGGACAAATCCACCATTTACTGGAAACTTAGTCTGAGAGTGCTCTACAACAGTGGTGTCCAATATGTGGCACGCCACACACCAGAGTGGACGTCTGCTCTCACTAATGCTGATTATAGTCTCGGTAGCCTGCTGAGCCTGCGTGTGTGTCAGTGTGTGTGTCAGTGTGTGTGTCAGTGTGTGTGTCAGTGACCCCCAGATGAAGGACTTTTAAAAAAAAACTAACTCTGACTTTTGTCCTTCAGCTGTCGGACCAGCAACAGGAAGAGTCTGATTGTGACGTCCAGCACCTCACCCACTCTCCCCCGACCACACTCACCTCTGCACGGACACACAGGTAACACAGCCCAAAAAGAACACCGGTGCTTTCTCTGCAGCTCTGAGCTGGACTCTGTGTCAGAGGTTGGTAGCGTGGTCCTGGTCCAGACAGTCAGGTTCTGGTCTCAGTCACTCATCTTTTCATTTTTAATATTATAATATATATAATATAATATTTTAATATATTTAATATATTAATATATTATTGTTACTATTGTTGTTGTTAGGCTGAAGATTAATTTTACAGTCTGGTTCTAATGGGGCAGTTGTCCCAGAGACTGTTCTGTCCACAGCTGGTGTTAAAATATTGGACTGATGATTTCTGAATCTGAGGACAACAGATGACTGAGGACAGTCTAGACCTGTCTCTGTCTCTCTACGTCTTTCCTCCCTCTCTGCCCCCCCTCTCCTCTGCTAATTTATTCCTCACCATCTGACTCTGTTTCTCTGTTGACCAGCGGGTCTTATTTATTCCATTAACCTCCCACTACAAATGTACTCACAAGTACATATACATGTGAGTACATGTACAGTGGACCCCAGAGACACCAGTCTAAGTCGTTCCACAACTCGTGTCTCAATTGCATTTTCTCCATTATAATAATTACTAAAAACCAATTCATTTTTTCCAGCCCTGCATAAATATACTATAAATTAAATTAACCTCCATCTAAACATCATCAAAAACATAGATATAAACAAATATATTGATAATATAGAATAATAATAATTAAGAAAACATTTTATATTATTTTTATAAAAATGAGTAAAATAACCCAGAGAGGGACTGTGAGGGAGACAGCGCCACAGTGTCGGGGCCACTAAGGAAGGAGAAGGATTATATATATTTTTTTAATTTTATTTATTTTTTATTAAACACTATGTTGGTGATGGACTCGGCAGCTGCTTTGGTGTCAGAGCTCACGGCTAAGTTAAATGATCCTCTGAGCCTGACTTTAACTCCTCCTCTTCAGTTCAGTCTTCTTCTCTGTCTCTCAGGGACGAGTCCACTGGACAGCCCCCGCAACTTCTCCCCCAACACAGCTGCACACTTCTCCTTTGTCCCTGCACGAAGGTGAGACACACACACACACACGTGAATGTTGTTACTGTTTTTTATTAATCTGTTTTGACTTCTGTTAATCTTCACACCCCCCGTCCCCAGGAACACCACCCCATAGATAACTCACCAACCCCAGTACTACAGCCGTTTATTGCTCCTTCAGTCCAATTACTGCACTGATCCACATTTATTATTACAGTATGATAAGGTCATGTGATCGGTCAAAGCAGCTGTAATAACCCTCTGAACTGAAGAGAGACAGGTTAAAAGGTTTTGAATCTTCAGACGTGTTCGTTCTCATTCCTCCAGTCTCTTAAAATAAATCAGAACTGTTCCTTTAACTCCATGACACATGTAAATGTGTAAATACAGAATAATGTCCCGCTGCAGACATCAGTGCTGCCTCTGCTGGAGCTGCAGTGACACCGTGTGGTGAAAATTCATATTGCACAGCACGTTAGGTTTATAGAAGAATTCTCTGAAAACATTTTTAAAATGACAAAAATGTCAAATTAAAACGTCTTCGTGGAAGTACTTTTTCCCAGTACTTTGTAACGTGAGTTTGTTTGTGTGACCGTTGACCTCTGAGGCTGAAATCCAACCATGATCTTGTCTCCCTCACAGCCATGGACACAGGGCAGACAGGTAAACACTGAAGTGGTCCTCACTTGTCTCTGTGTTACGCCCCCTGCTGCATGGCTGAGCACACACACGCACACACAGGAATGTAATCAACAGGGTCAAAATATTCACTAAGTAACAGAGAACGTCTGACTATGTTTGAGAACTCTTTGTTTTGTTGTAGAAATACAGTGAAATATAATAGTATAGTACAAGTATTTGTAGTCAGAAAGAACTTTTGATATATTTAAGCCTGTATTCAGTTAAAAATAAATATAAAGTCATCATCCTCATGTTCCATGTCTGTGGTGTCAGACCGTCCAGTTCTGCTGCAGACTTCTTCTCTTCTTTTAAACACCTGCTCACAGCTGACATGCTAACAGTGCTAGGCTAATCTGCTGTCACCACACTACATCCTGGCTGCCGTTCACAGAACGTCGCACTGCATTAGAGAAGTGATGGCGGTTCAGTGTCATCACTTCTCAAACATCAGTCAGCTGTCAATCAAGATGATGGACAGCTGACTGATGTCTGTTCTCTAACAACAACAGAGACGTCTGTCCTCACTGTGTCTCTGTCCATGGAGCTGCTTCTGCTGCTGCCACCTTGAGGTGTCATGTTGGACAAACTGATTTCTCTCCTTTTTCCTTTTTCCAGGTCGGACGGCAGACGCTGGTCCCTGGCTTCACTGCCCTCCTCTGGTTATGGCACCAACACCCCCAGCTCCACTGTCTCGGTAAATGTCTCCTGTGTTGACTTAACGATCGGGTGTTAAATCACTGAGTGTTTCAGTTGAAGGTGTTGATGAAAGAAACCTGTTTCTATCATTTCTGACCCCGGTCCATCTCCTGTGTTGGTCTTCAGACCCTCTGCGGTCCAGTAGAACCGGACAGCAGCTCCAGAGCTGGTTGTAATCTGTGCTCCTTCTGTGCTCCTCCTCTCACAGTCCTCCTGTTCATCTCAGGAGAAGCTTCACCAGCTGCCCTTCCAGCCCACGCCGGATGAGCTGCACTTCCTCACCAAACACTTCAGCTCCGAGAGCATCACCGACGAGGAGGGCCGCCGCTCCCCCGCCATGAGACCACGATCCCGCAGCCTCAGGTAGGTGACCTCTGACCCTCTCTGACCTCTGATCTGATCACACTGTTGTTCTTTTTTAGTCACATGGCTGCTTCACACTGATTGGTCGATGGTTTTAGTTCAGCTCCAGTTCCTTCAGTCACCTGATCTGATGATGTCATACTCAGTACTGAACACTGGACTTGATGTTGGAATTTTACTGCAGTTTTTCTCAAGGTGACAGATACTGGTACACACTGTTGTCTTGGAGACATCTGTCCAGTTTAAGAATTTGGATCAGATTAAAGTGGATTAGGACTAGTGATATACCTGTCATAGAGGCTGGAACACTTTTGTATGGAAAAACATGTATGTGTGTTCCAGGCTGATTGAGCGCCCTCTGCTGTGAAGGGTGTCAGTTGTCCTTCCTTCACTCCCTCCTGGTTGTCTCACAGCTTCATCTTCTTCATTTTTCCATATTCCCACTCTTCCTGTTCCTGTGAACAGTTCCATTCATCACCAGTCCCCCCCCCCCAAGGTCCCGTCGTCCACAGATGTGTCAACATTGTCCATCCATCACAGCATCATGTTCAGTGAAGACACTGATGGATGTTGTGCTCCAACACCTCATTGACTTCCTGTCTGAGACACTCATACATCACATGACGTCACGTGACCACATACACACCAACGCTGGTGTGTGTGGTCGCGTTCAGTGTGTCTTGTGGTAGAACCAGGGCCACGCCCACTTCTCTTTGTTTCCTACAGTCAGTGTCTGAGGTTCTGTCACAGTCGTCAGCCGTGGCCACTGCAGCAGCCACAGAGGCGTCATCTGGGTTTTTACTTCTGGAAAAACCTTGAAACAAAACTCAGGACCTTGAGTCTGTGATTGGTCTCAGTCACACAGGGATTCAGAGCCCGTGTGGGCCGCATCTTGTTAGATCACTGAGCCAGGATCAGACCCGGGTTTCAGTTTCTCTAGAACTTTCCAGACTCACCTGGTAATGAGACACCAGCTGCTGGTTGAGTGTGTGGCTGGAATGACAACAAGTCATTTCACCGACACACACCCCTCCCATAGACCCCACCCCACACACATCTCACCCCAGTTCGGTTTGGTCCGACTCTCTGTCATGGTCAATTAGCTCTCTCATTTCCCGAGACGCCCACCTCTGTGGAGCAGCATCACTGTTATTTTTTCTCATTCCCTTCCTCACACACACACACACACACACACCACCCACCCCCCTGTCCCCACCTCGACATCACCATCTGATTCACTGTCTCGTCTGATTTACTTTAATTACCGTCTCCACCAATAAACTCGTTTGCATTTTAACTGCCTGTTTGTCACCTGTGACATCATCACTGAGCTGAGGAGAAAGAAAAGAAGAAGAAGAAAGACAGGATGCAGAAAAAAACCTCCAGTTACAACACAAGGTTCTGATAATAAACAACATCTGCTGCAGCTCCAACACACACTGAGCCACAGGAGGCTTCACTTGAATAAAGGCTCAGAGAGGAGACGACGGTGTGAAGATGAGAGAACCAGGATGTACGGCAGGAAATCTGTCTCTGTCAGACTGACCTTTACTGCCTCAGCCTGTAGGGGGAGCACTGCAGCTGGACTGGTGTTGACAGCATCCACTCTGTGTTATATCTGTCTGAACAGCCACAGATTTGTTACTTGTTACTAGCATAAAGAACTAACACAGACACGTCTGTGTGCACGTGTGTGTGTGTGTGTGTGACAGTGATAAACAGTCTGAATGATGGTCCTGTCAGTCACAGTCAGGCTGCTGTCCCTCCATCAGCCCTGTAATTGGACTGTGAAGGTCCACGCATGACATGACCTCATCGTGTGTGTGTGCATGTGTGTGTGTGTGTGTGTGTGTACACAGCAGTGACTCATACCTGCTGCAGCATCTGGAACCAGGAATCCTATTTTAATCTCAGTTCATTTTCATGGTGAAACAGGATCAAATTTTACATTTTGTTTTATTATAAAAAAAAATTGTATCTTTGTCACCTGGTATTTACCATAGACACACACAAACACATCACATATCTTATCATCTGTCATCACGGCGTCTCCTGCTGACAGCTGACACACACAGTATCTACCCACTGGTCTCCAGACACCTTGCCTTCACATGCACCTCCACTGTACTGTCTCTGACCTCAGATGGTCCTGGTGGTCTGTCTGCTCTACTTACATTTTTACTCCAGACTCCAGCAGACCTGCCTTCATTGTTCTTTTGGTCTTTGTCTTTTCAGTCCTGGACGTTCTCCGATCTCCTTCGATCATGAGATCGTGATGATGAACCATGTTTACAAGGAGCGGTTCCCCAAGGTCAGAACACGACACTGTTGATGTAACACACAATATTTAAAAATATTGAAATTTCTCCAGTGAAATGAAAAAAAAAAATCTCTCTGGTCCTGGAAGCATATGATCTATGACCTAATGCTGGTCCATGAGCCAGTGGTTGAACACCTGTTGTAACTGGTTATGAGATAAGAAATGATTTTGTGTGTTCATTTTTTTCTTCACATGAACATGTAGACCAGTCTCCCCCCCAACTCACATACGTCTCCCCCATGTTTCCTCTCCTGTGACTCAACCATCTCCCTCCCCTACCTGCCCCTCTCCTCCTCCCTCCCCTCAGGCGACGGCTCAAATGGAGGAGCGTCTGGCCGAGCTGCTCTCCTCCTCGGCCCCCGATAAGGTCTGCCCACTGGCCGACGGGGTCCTGAGCTTCATCCACCATCAGCTGACGGAGCTGTCCAGAGATTGCCTGGAGAAGAGCAGGGAGGGGCTCATCACCTCCCGCTACTTCTACGAGCTCCAGGAGAACCTGGAGAAGCTGCTGCAAGATGTAAGTCCCCCCTCGACCCCCGACTCACTGCACTTTTCACAGCAATATGCTGGACATTTAGGAGTTAGTGACGACTAAGTCAGGATTAAGTCTCGAAACTAACCAACATGAGTTCACCGAAGGATCAGTGAAGGTTTCCAAAAACTCTTAAACTTAGACTTAAAGTGATTGTTGTCACTGAAACAGTTGAAACCTGTGGGGGTCTCCCCAAGGCCTCACATTTCACCTGGAACAAAACTGTTGAAAAAATCAGTTCTGATCTGTGGCTCCTTCTTTACTGACTCGTCAGCAGTGGAAGAAGGAATCAGGTTTTGACCAGAGAAAACTAGGGCTAGTGGTCGTATATGGTACTGCTACTGGATTATGGTCAGGGTGGTCTTTTTTTCTTATGGTCTTTTTGGAGAAGAACCTGGTTTTTATAACCTGCTAAAACCAAGCCCTGAATGAAGGAAGATCTCTGGATTCAGATGAAGATGTTGTCGTGACGATGGTCCTGGTCACTCCTGGTCACGCTTTGTTAACCCAGGAATAACTCACCAATCCCCCCGCCCCTCCACAACTGGTAGTCGCTCACTGTTATTGGAGCTGTGAGCGCTGCGTGATGTCATACGATGGCACAGAGACCCAGACGCTGCTGTCTGTGACTCTGTTTCCACATGGACCAGTGTGTGTGTGTCTGTGTGTCACTACTGACATCTCTATTAGCTCAGTTTGGCAGCGCCTGGGGGCCGATATGACGGCTCCCAACGGCCCCTTATTGACCTACTGTTCTCTCTCACACACACACACACACACACACACAATCACATACATAGGAACTTTCTCCTGGATTTTAATTTCACACTCCAGCAGCCACCAAGGCCTGACAGATGACTCCCCCGACAAGCAGGAGGGGTGAAGGAGGTGCAGTTGGACGGTTTAGGAATGGGCGGGGAATTCTCGGGAATTCCTTTGCTTCTAATTGGCTGGCAGTGGACAGAGGAGGGAGGGGGCGGGTGTAGGTGAAGGAACGCCTGTTTGCTTTGGAGGATGTGAGAACGTGCTGTGGAGCACATGTGGAGAGAGACGGATGCTGCGGCTGGACGGGAGGCTGATGATGTCATCACTAATTAAGCAGCGTTAGTTTGGGTTTGGATCATTTTTGGGAGGTGGGAGTGAGAAGAAGGAGCAGGTGGATGGAGGTCTAGCAGCGGCGTTTATGGACATCGCTCGTCGTTTGGCGGCTGCTGGCGTTTGGAAGGAAAATGTCACTCATGTCATGGCAGATGAGGTTATTGGAGGAGGAAGAGGCGGAGGAGGTGATGCTGGAGGAGGTGCTGAGGAGGAGCGAGTGGACGGTGCTCGCCCACAGCTGGGAGAAGGCGAAGGAGGGAGAAGACTTTGCAGTTGAGTCCATTTGTTTGGTTTTTTTGGATTTGTTTTCACACTGACATCGGGTGGCTGTGGTTCAGTGGGTCTTTGCCGTCTCTCCACCACAGGGTCAGGGACCGCTTCCTGACTAAGTGGTGGAGCTGTTTGATTGGTCATCAGGACTAAGGAGGTCTGTAGAACTGTTGTTCAGTAAAGTTCTTTGAACCGACAGTGAAAAACATTTTCATCATCACAAAGTCAGAATTGTTCCCCCCAGAGAAGGAGAAGAAGAAGATCTGCAGGAACCCCAGGGTTCTCTGACATCGACAGGAATTATTATCCCTACGGCTGCTGCTCTGTCTGGAGCTGATGAATAATTCACTGTCTGTGAGAACCAATCAGGCTGGAGATAATGACCACACCAGTAGTTAATGACAGTACCAGTGGTTAATGACGGCACCAGTAGTTAATGGCAGTACCAGCAGTTAATGACGGCACCAGCCGTTAATGACAGTACCAGCAGTTAATGACGGGACCAGTGGTTAATGACAGCACCAGCGGTTAATGACAGTAGCAGTGGTTAATGACGGTACCAGCGGTTAATGGCGGCACCAATGGTTAATGACGGCACCAATGGGTAATGACGGGACCAGTGGTTAATGACAGTACCAGTGGTTAATGACGGTACCAGTGGTTAATGACGGCACCAATGGTTAATGACGGTACCAGTGGTTAATGATGGCACCAGCAGTTAATGACAGTAGCAGTGGTTAATGACGGCACCAGTGGTTAATGGCAGTACCCGTGGTCAATAGCAGTACCAGTGGTTAATGACAGTACCAGTGGTTAATGACGGTACCAGTGGTTAATGATGGTACCAGCGGTTAATGACGGCACCAGTGGTTAATGACAGTACCAGTGGTTAATGACAGTACCAGTGGTTAATGACAGTACCAGTGGTACTGCTATTGACCAAGTCTGGGTCAAAACCAATCTAAAACAGAAGGCTTACACTGGTCACATCTGGGCCACATCAGTCCTTCCTCCGTCCGTTCTGTACACAACAGCCTCCTCCATGTGTCACCACCTCATTACAGAATTCACCTCCCCTCTTCACCTCCCCTCTTCACCTCCCCTCTTCACCTGCTTCTGCCCCCTCATCTTTTATCTCTCCTCTACCTTTAGCCCTCTCCGTCTGCTTCACCTCACTTCTTCTCCTTCATCCATCCCTGTCAGTGGTCCGAGGTAACCCACCCGGCGGTCACCATAGAAACCTGACCCTGCAGGAACCCCCTGGGAGACCCTGTTAGACTCCTGGAGGTTACCTGAGGGCAGAAGGGAGGACGAGGTGCAGACTCAGCAGCAGGCCCAGGTCTCTGTCCGTGGGCATTGATCACAGTCTCACACTGAAGCTGCAGAGCCTCTCACACACACACACACACACACACACACACACTCAGTGTCAAACATCTGCTGATAATTGTCTTTGTTCTGAGGAGGGGTGAGAGGAGGAGGTGATAAACGTTGACGTCACCTCCTGACTTTTAGACCGTTCCTGTTTCAAACAGATTTGCAGCGTTCTCTCTGCGGGGACTGGTTAGTGACAGTTTAACTTTAGGTTTATTGTTTGTACTTTTTGCTCAGTACATCTGTGAATACTTTTCAGTATATAATATATAATACAGAGTATTTAACAGGAGGCTCAACATTAATAAGAATCTCATCCTGTGCTTCAACTGGGATCAGGGCGGTTTTTTATTGTGTTTTTATTCATTTAATTTTGATCTAGTTCTAATTTTTTTTATATATATATATATTTCTTTATTTCTTTCAACCAACATGAAATCTTCTTTGCTGTTACAAAGACATATTTGCTGTTTCTGGCTCAGATCGTCCAGTAGAAGACGACTGGACTGTAGTACCAGATCAGTACCAGACAGTTCTACAGGACTGAGAACCAACATTGATGCTGTGACAATTTTTTTTGAAAATATTGTGTATTCTGTACTACAGAGATGTACACACACACACACACACCGATGCATGAATGAATACACACACCGTCTCACACACTCTGACTGGTTAATCAGCCACGGCATAGTTGGAGCTCGTCCCTCAGCTGTCCGTTATTCACCATCACACACACACACATACTCACACTAATACATATTTAGTACATACAGTACACAGACTCCCCTCTGGGTATCATTACAGTCATAAATAATTCAGGGCTGTGTGTATGGTGGGGGGGCAGAGTTAGTGGCCCCCGGCCCCCAGCGTCTGTCAGCACAGCTCTGTTAGCCGCCTGTCGTCCTTATGAACAACCACCCACCCTGCATCGGCCTGATAGAAAAACAGTCGTTCATTTATTATAAACACACCTTCATAAATACACATGACACACAGGAGGCGCTGCACTCAACACGAGACCCCCCTGAGAGTGGGAGCATGTTTCACAGTGGCTGGTCAGTAATTATTACAGCCGTCACTTGGTTCCACCTGTATTTCCACTGGGCTCCAGTCCCATCTCAAGATAAATTGCGTGTCTCCAAACTGACAGACGTTCGACGGTCGTTCTCAGGAGTCGGCGTGTTTGAGTCGGTTGTCAGTAGAGGACGGACTCCAGAGAACGTTGGTCCTGAAACTCTGGTGCTGAAGGACACACTCAGAACCACAAACTGGAAGAAAATCATGATTTAAGAAATAAATAATAAACACTGAATATTAATAATCTGGGATTAACCACAGTTGTTTTTTCTTATTAACGTGTGTGTGTGTGTGTGTGCGCGTGCAGGCTCACGAGCGCTCCGATTGCGTGGAGGTCACCTTCGTCACACAGCTGGTGAAGAAGCTGATGATCATCATCGCGAGGCCTGCGCGGCTGCTGGAGTGTCTGGTGAGGAACTCTGACCTTCATCATCTGTGTTTGAAGAACTCTAGAAATAAAAAAGCTCCTGGAAAAAGGAGATCAAATGTTTTATTCACTAACAGCTGTTCTTCACTCTCCGTCCTGCAGGAGTTTGATCCTGAGGAGTTCTACCACCTGTTGGAGGCAGCAGAGGGCCATGCTAAGGAGGGCCAGGGCATCAAGTCTGACATCCCCAGATACATCATCAGTCAGCTGGGCCTCACCAGGGACCCACTGGAGGGTACCGTCACCAGCACACTTCACACTGTTCCCTGGACTGTGGTACTGTGAAGTTACTGATCTGTGTCTGTGTGTGTGTGTGTTTGTAGAAATGGCCCAGCTGAGCAGTTATGACAGCGGGAACCCAGAAACTCCAGAGACTGACGACTCTGTGGATGTGAGTAAAGAACGACTAAGTGTCAAATACAGTACAGTACAGTCCTGGCATGGTTTGATATAATCATTCACAGTCCACTGGGAACCTTGAGGTTAAAGATGTTCAACTAGTACTAATACTGTGAACAGTACCATCTGACTCAGTAATACTATGATAGTATACTGGTCTTATAGTATGTAGTAAACAGTGAAGGTGAGTGGTGCTGGAACCCTAACCCTCACACTGGTGGTACTGGGACAGACAGAGTAGACCACTGTCCTACACCCAGTACCAGTGAGACCCAGTCAGTGTTGATGGACCTGAACCTGGATCTGGATATAACATCTCTACTCTTCTGACTGTGTGTGCTTCAGAATCAAAGAACCAGCGTCCCAGCAGCGCCACCTCAGGCCAAAACCAAAACACCTAGAGAAGAAGACTTTGAAAACATCAAGCTCATCAGTAATGGAGCCTACGGGTAAGTTCTACAGTTCTACAGAAGAACAAGATGATGAAGGACAGAACCTAAAATCCTCATAAAACTTTCAAGATACGAGCTACCCAAAATATGAGTTTTCCAAGTTAGAAGTAACTTTTGCAAGATTTTCCTGGTAACCTTAGCACTGGTAACATCAAGTTACCACTCTCTAGCTCTATTTCTCCACTCGATGCTGTCTCCCTCACTGTCCCTCTCTGGGTTATTTTACCCATTTTTTATAACAATAATATAAAATCTTATATTAATAATTATTATTTCATAGTATCAATATATTGTTTATATCTATGTTTACATTTACATTTATTAATTGGTTTTTAGTTATTTTTAACCGGGAAAATTTGATCAAGGTACGAGTGCTGTTGTGGAAGATATTATATTACATTTATTAATTGTTTTTTAGTTATTTTTAACGGGTACGAGTGCTGTTGTGGAAGATATTACCCATGATTCCTTGGCCCGTCAGTCTATGTTCTGTTCAGTAACCAGCTCCTGATGTCGGTTCTGGTCTGTGCTGCAGGGCTGTGTTTCTGGTCCGTCACAAAGAGACCCGGCAGAGATTCGCCATGAAAAAGATCAACAAACAGAACCTGATCCTGAGGAACCAGATCCAGCAGGCCTTTGTGGAGAGGGACATCCTGACCTTTGCAGAGAACCCCTTTGTGGTCTCCATGTTCTGTTCCTTTGAGACCAGGAGGCATCTGTGCATGGTGATGGAGTACGTGGAAGGTGAGACATTTGTGGACTGATCCTTCACAGCAGCAGGTCCTGTTTTTGTTTTTGTCTGTCCTGATGTGGTGTCTGGTCCTGTCCTGCAGGGGGAGACTGTGCCACACTGCTAAAGAACATCGGTGCGCTGCCAGTGGACATGGCTCGGATGTACTTCGCTGAAACTGTCCTGGCTCTGGAGTATCTGCACAACTACGGCATCGTCCACCGAGATCTGAAACCAGACAAGTAAGGACAGCGGTCCACGTCCTACGTCTTTATGGTCTGTCCCCACCGCTCTGATCACAGCTGTGCTACCCTCTCCTTTTCTGCCCCTCCAGTCTCCTCATCACCTCCATGGGTCACATCAAACTGACCGACTTTGGTCTCTCGAAGATCGGTCTGATGAGTTTGACCACAAACCTGTATGAAGGACACATCGAGAAAGACACCAGAGAATTCCTGGACAAACAGGTGAGGACTCTGTGTGAGACTAACTGAATGGACGAGGCCTTGTTCAACAAACCTTAATCCCCCCAACCCCCACCCTCTCCCCTGCAGGTGTGTGGTACTCCTGAGTACATCGCCCCAGAGGTGATACTGCGTCAGGGCTACGGCAAACCTGTGGACTGGTGGGCCATGGGGGTGATCCTGTACGAGTTCCTGGTGGGCTGCGCCCCCTTCTTTGGAGACACCCCAGAGGAACTGTTTGGTCAGGTCATCAGTGGTGAGTCTACCATGTGGTAGAGTGTAGAACTTCACCTTGACAGAGCGTTCTGACCCAGTCATAGACACAGTTTAGTCAATAGAACTGTTTAAATTAGTTTTAGTTTTAGGTGAGAGTCCTGGGTTAGATTCCCAGAGGAGCCACATGCTTGATAATGTTAATGTTAATCCTCCTCTGTAAGTCACGTTGGATGAAAGTGTCATATAAATGTAAAAATATTAAATATCTGTGTGTGTGTGTTTGTTTGTGTGTCAGATGAAATCATTTGGCCAGAAGAAGATGAAGCTCTGCCTCTGGAGGCTCAGGACCTCATCTGCAAACTACTGAGACAGAACCCACTGGAGAGACTGGGCACAGGTACACACACACACACACACATAGACACACACACGTTGATATTGAGCTGTTCTAATTTTGCTGCTTCTGTCCTCCTCCACCTCGTCCTCCGTCTCCTCCACAGGGAGTGCCTTTGAGGTGAAGCAGCACTCCTTCTTCACAGAGCTGGACTGGAACAGTCTGCTGAGACAGAAGGCAGAGTTCATCCCTCAGCTGGAGTCAGAGGACGACACCAGTTACTTTGACAGTACGTCCCTGACTGTCCACTCTGTCCTGTGGACACTTCACTGCATCATCCAACGTTTCTCCGTCTTCGGTGTCAAACCAGATTCTAATCCTTTATTTTCCTGTTTGTCCTTCAGCTCGTTCCGATCGGTACCACCACGTGGACTCAGAGGAGGAGGATGACACCAACGATGATGAACATGTGGAGCTCCGACAGTTCTCCTCCTGTTCACCTCGTTTCAGTAAGGTAGGGACAGACGACCTTTAGAACCACAGAGAGATCAGTTCCATCCGGTTAGAGCCCTGGGTGAGTTTAAAAATCAATAAACTGTGATGTCATGAAGGTGTACAGCAGCATGGAGCGTCTGTCTCTACATGAGGAGAAGAGAACGCCTCCTCCCACCAAACGCAGCCTCAGTGAGGAAGGGGGAGAACGGATCGACAGCCTGAGCAGCCTCAAGTCCAGGGACCGGTCCTGGTTGGTGGGATCTCCAGAGATGTGGGTTCAAGACTCGACCTATGTTTTTAAGGAACAGAAAATGAAACAGATGTATTAGGTTCTGATCTATGCTCTCCTCCTGTCCTCCAGCCTGAGGAAACGTCTGTCCGTTTCTGAGTCGTCCCACACTGAGAGTGACTCCAGTCCTCCTCTGACCGTCAGGAGACGCTGCTGCTCTGCCATCATCGAGATGCCACGATTTGCTATCTCCTCTGAGGAGGAAGGAGGTCAAGGTGAGACCATTAGGAAGGAGGTGAAGGTGATGAGGACAGTCCCCATGTTTTCACCAGATTTTACCCTTGATTCTCAGTGGTTGAGAGTCTCTGTACTCCAGGTCTTTACGAATATCTGGACCAACTGACACGGTGGTGCAGTGGGTTCCCAAATTTACCTCCTCCTGTCCTTTTGCCCTCAGGTGTGGCAGGAAGTCGTAAAAGCCCCAGTGTGCTGGGGCCCAATGTAGTCAGGGGCCCCCGGAGTGAAGAGCTGCCCCTGGCCATTCCTGAGCTGCCCCTGGAGAGAGAGCTAAAGTTGGACGAGTCCCCCACCACCCCCACCTCCACCTGCAGTCAGCAGAGCAAGTCCACCCTCACCCGTAAGTAACTGCCCCCACAGAACTAAGCAGAACCCCAGTGTTCTCCTTCCTCTGTTGACATGAATCCATTTGTCTACAGCAGGAAGTCCCAGCACCGTCTGTGACCATGGTACCAGCAGCAGCACCACAGGAGTCAAACCTGCAGCAGACACTGACTCCACCTCCACCTCCACCTCCTCCTCCAGAGCCATCAGTGACCTGGCAGCTCGGAGAGCCCGTCATCGACTTCTGTCAGGAGACTTAGACAAACACACCTCAGCCCCCAGCTCCAGACCCATCAACAAGGTCATCAAGTCCGCATCTGCCACCACGCTGTCACTCATGATCCCTGCAGGTCAGTGTGAGAACTGCTCCGTGTGGATGTCCACAGTTATAGTTTAGTTCAGTTCATCAGACTGTGTCAGTGTGAGGCGTTCACTGACATCAGCAGCTGTACGAGTTTACACGTTTTTTCTGTAGTTTTATTTCCTGTCATTTAACACCTCCTTTTCACTTCCTCCTTTCCTCCTTTTCTCCCTGGGTCTCCTCAGACCACCATGGAGCCTCCCCACTGGCCAGTCCCATGTCCCCCCACTCCCTGTCGTCCAATCCGTCGTCCCGAGACTCTTCACCGAGTCGTGACCTGTCCCCTGCTGTGAACAGCATCAAACCCGCCATCGTCATCCACAGGTCGGGGAAGAAGTACGGCTTCACCCTGAGAGCCATCAGAGTCTACATGGGAGACAGTGACGTCTACACAGTCCATCACATGGTCTGGGTGAGTGTGATTCCACATAGTTGACAGAAGGGGGCAGTAAATGACAGGAAAACATTTATAACCCAATGGTCTGACTCTCTCCCTCTCTTTCTTTCTCTCTATCTGTCTATTTATCGCACTCTCTCACTCTCAGCATGTGGAGGAGGGGGGTCCAGCCCATGAGGCGGGGCTTAGAGAAGGAGACCTCATCACCCATGTCAACGGAGAGGCGGTGCACGGTCTGGTCCACACTGAGGTGGTGGAGCTCATACTGAAGGTACGGTCATTTAACAGAACTCTGGTTCTGGTTCTGTTTTCATCTGAGGATCTAACAACATGTCTGCACACATCTGTGGAGGGGTGGGGGTTGGATGGATGGGGGGCAGCAGCTTGTAGTACCACTTGTAACCACACTGATGGAGTAAGAAACAAAAATCTCCAATGACGTGTTCTGCTGCCTCCACAGAGTGGCGCTAAAGTCTCCATCGTGGCCACGCCCTTTGAAAACACCTCCATCAAAGTCGGCCCTGCGCGAAAAACCAGCCACAAGTCCAAAATGGCCAGACGTAACAAGAAGACCAAGACCAAGGAGGGGCAGGACAGGTGGGAACTCCACAGTACACGGGTCAGTACTGCATGTACTCTTGTACTCCAGTGACCTGGACCTGTGTGTGTTTTGTTGTTTGCAGTAAGAAGAGGACGTCTCTGTTCAGAAAAATCACCAAACAGGCGTCTCTCCTCCACACCAGCCGTAGCCTGTCCTCTCTGAACCGGTCCCTGTCCTCAGGAGAGAGTGGACCAGGGTCACCAACACACAACCTGTCTCCAAGAAGCCCCACCCAGGGCTACAGGTCCACACCAGACTCCGCCCACTCAGGTGAGTAAAGTTCAAACCTGATTTTGATTCTCTGCTGACAAAATAAAGCTAATCATAATGGCACTGATCAATAGTTTAATTAGTGGGAAGAACAATCTGGGTTTGCTCTTCAATCAGGTCTAAGTTTTTAAAGGGTTGTTTGTTTCAGTAAATAGGAAAACCACTGGTGGTACTTGGGTTCCCTCTAGTGGTGTGGGAATATGCTTTCCCATAAGGAGACAGTAAATGCAACTGTGTGCTTTTAGAATAGGATTGAAGTACCTGTTGTAGTACTACTTCATCATTCATCACAGTGTGTCCTTCTCCTCTTCTGTCACTTCACCCCACAGTTGGTGGAAACTCCTCCCAGAGTAGCTCCCCGAGCTCCAGCGTCCCAAACTCCCCCGCGAGCTCCGGCCACATCCGGCCCAGCTCGCTGCACGGCCTGGCCCCCAAACTGCAGCGCCAGTACCGATCACCACGACGCAAGTCTGCTGGAAACATCCCTCTGTCGCCTCTGGCCCGAACACCGTCACCTACACCTCAGAGCAGCTCACCACAGCGCTCGCCATCTCCACTGCCCGGCCACGCCCTGGGACAGTCCAGTGTGGGCCAGTCCTTCCCTGTGAAGCTCCACTCCTCCCCCCCTCTGGTCAGGCAGATTTCCAGACCCAAGAGCGCTGAGCCGCCCCGCTCCCCACTCCTGAAGAGGGTGCAGTCGGCTGAAAAACTGGCCTCCTCCCTGGCCAACGCCCCCTCGTCTCCCTCTAATGTGGCAGCGACGACAGCGGTGGGGGAGAAAAAGCTGGGGGTGGGGGCAACTGTGGGCAGTCGGAAACACAGTCTGGACATCTCACACTCAGAGTTCAAGAAGGAGATTCTTCAGAGGGAGCCCAGTCTGCAGAGTCTGCAGGTGAGAACCTGACAAGATAAAATGAAGGGTCCTGACCCAGTACCAGTCCCTGACCCAGTGTTTGGGGACCTCTGATCTAAAACAGCCTGTCAGTTTAATATCATTAATACACTTCAGTCTACACACGTGTGAATTAAACAATGAGTTCTTCCTGTTCCACTGTTCTGTCTGGACCTAAACGCTCTGGACTGGAGATGTCACCTTTAATCACATGTTGAGAAACTGATTGTCAGGAGTGATCTTCTGCTTCTCAGCCTTTATCTGGGGGTCGGGGGGGGTGATGTGGATGTGTACACCCTACTTCATCATTCATCACAGTGTGTCCTTCTCCTCTTCTGTCACTTCACCCCACAGTTGGTGGAAACTCCTCCCAGAGTAGCTCCCCGAGCTCCAGCGTCCCAAACTCCCCCGCGAGCTCCGGCCACATCCGGCCCAGCTCGCTGCACGGCCTGGCCCCCAAACTGCAGCGCCAGTACCGATCACCACGACGCAAGTCTGCTGGAAACATCCCTCTGTCGCCTCTGGCCCGAACACCGTCACCTACACCTCAGAGCAGCTCACCACAGCGCTCGCCATCTCCACTGCCCGGCCACGCCCTGGGACAGTCCAGTGTGGGCCAGTCCTTCCCTGTGAAGCTCCACTCCTCCCCCCCTCTGGTCAGGCAGATTTCCAGACCCAAGAGCGCTGAGCCGCCCCGCTCCCCACTCCTGAAGAGGGTGCAGTCGGCTGAAAAACTGGCCTCCTCCCTGGCCAACGCCCCCTCGTCTCCCTCTAATGTGGCAGCGACGACAGCGGTGGGGGAGAAAAAGCTGGGGGTGGGGGCAACTGTGGGCAGTCGGAAACACAGTCTGGACATCTCACACTCAGAGTTCAAGAAGGAGATTCTTCAGAGGGAGCCCAGTCTGCAGAGTCTGCAGGTGAGAACCTGACAAGATAAAATGAAGGGTCCTGACCCAGTACCAGTCCCTGACCCAGTGTTTGGGGACCTCTGATCTAAAACAGCCTGTCAGTTTAATATCATTAATACACTTCAGTCTACACACGTGTGAATTAAACAATGAGTTCTTCCTGTTCCACTGTTCTGTCTGGACCTAAACGCTCTGGACTTTGGTGTCAAACGACAAACGCTGTCCAGAGATGTCACCTTTAATCACATGTTGAGAAACTGATTGTCAGGAGTGATCTTCTGCTTCTCAGCCTTTATCTGGGGGTCGGGGGGGTGATGTGGATGTGTACACCTGCCTAAAAGTACATTAAAAGGTTCTTGTGTTTGTTTCCTCTCTGATCTCCAGGAGTCGGCCAGTGAGGGGCTGCTGTCCTCAGCGGGACGGGGTGTAGAGAAGGGCAGTCTGCAGAAACTCCCCTCCTCCTCTTCTACCTCTTCATCCAGGAAATTGGGACGTCAGGAAGGAGACAGCTCTCTGATGGGTGTCTCCGGCTCTCTGGGCCTCACCCCAGGAAAGAGTAAACTGAAGGACAAACTGTCGGCCATCAGACAGGACAGAGCCGAGCGAAGGGAGTCGCTGCAGAAACAGGACGCCATTCATGAGGTGGACTCATCTGAGGATGAGACGGATGAGGGTTCAGAGGACAGTCAGGATGGACGCAGGGGGACCACCTTTACTCCTCCACCTCTCCTGAGGCCCACCACTGTCAGAAGCGGCCCTGGGGGGACACTACCGTCCCTCTGTCTGTCCCCCAGCACCCCCCATGCTACATTTACCCACACAGGGCCCCCACAGCCGGGTAGACCCAGCCCTTCCCACGCCCTCACAGAGACACGGTCCGGTCAGAGCACCTCCTCTTCTGGACCCAGAGAAGGAGAAGACAGTGTACGACACGACAGGAAAGTTCTGGAGCAGAGCGTTGCCACAAAACCCACTCAGGGCCCCCTACCCTTCTCCACCCCAGGCAGTGCGTTCATCTCAGTCAGTAAGACCACTACCCCCCAGCAGGAGTCAAAGATTCTGAAGGAGAAACCTGGCCTAGCAGAGACCAGGGCGGAGGACAGAACCATGGTCAATTTTAAGACCACGGTTCCTTTCACCACCGTCACTCCCAGTACTCCTGACTTCAAGACCACCACCACCACCACCCAGACCAGAACTACAGACTGCCAGACCCCTGAGAGTCGAGAGTCTCCTCGATCCTCCTGCTCATCTCCGGGGATCCCTAAGGAGAAGAAGGAGGCCGACAACCGCCGACTGTGCGCAGCAGCAGCCGCGGCCTGTCTGGGTGCGTCGGTGTCAACCTCAGGCTCCAGCTCCAACTCCGGTTCAAGTTCCCCGGTCCCTCCCCCTGAGAGCAGCATGGACAGAGTTGTGTCTCAGCTGGCGATCGTAGCTAAGAGTGTTCTTGGTCCTGTTAAACTGAGTACCACGGCAGACAAGACCCAGAAGGACCACAGAGTCTCCAGAGGCGGAACCCCCCAACCCCCACCAGCTGAGCTCCAGGCCCATCGCTCTTCTCCAACCAGGCAGAAAACAGAGAGAGTGTCCTCACCCACCACCTCACTGAGATCAGCCAAACCCATGGCCCAGTCAGACTGCACCGCTGCACCACAGCCGTCCCACAAGGACATCCCTGGAAGAGCCACGACAGGACCTGGAACTTCTGCACCTGCACACCGGCCCAGTGCAGCAGCAGCAGCAGCAGCAGCGTCAGTGGTGTCTCAGCCCACCATGAACTTGAACCCCCCCACATCTGCAGTATCTGAGCCACAGCGCTGGAGGTCTGACACCTCCACCTCCACCTCTACCACAGCTGCCGCCAACACCTCGTCTACACCCACCCTTCAACTAGACAAAGCTACATTCAAGAAGACGTAGCAACGCAGTGTCAGGATGTACAGATGACGCCACCCAGTGGTGGACGGTGGTTCACGTCTGTCCCACAACCGCATGTTTGTAGAAAATACAACATGATTTCATCTCAACACTCACTGTTGACTTTTTTTTTTTACTTCTCAAGAGAAAAGACAGGGGGAGCTGTCAGATGCAGATGATGGTAGTTGTTGTTGGAAGTTCCATTCCAGATGTTGTTTGCTCACTAACACCTGTGTTTTTGTTCTGGTCTCCTATGAGTTGGTGTTCAGGGTTAGAGATGAAGAGTGTGGTGACCCATCCACCACCAAGACCTGGTCCTGGGGGCTGATACTCAAAAGACCCCCACCCCAAAATTCATGTAGGTTATGGTTGGCTTGGCAGCGACCTTGACTTTGAAAACTGTCAAAGGTCAATCTGGTTAGTAGGAACAATAATGTAGGAACAATGTTGAAGCTGAAGGTCGAAGGTCACATGTTTTGTGTCAGATCTGAGAGAGGATCCACTGACCTCTGACCTCAAAGATGGAGCCTCTGTCACATGACTTAATGTGTTGATCTTTCACCTCTAACTTTTCCTCCAGTAGGAAAAGTGTCCCAAGAAACTCATCAAAAGTCCAGACAGGTGTAGACAGTGTTTAGCTCAGTCAACAGTTCGCAGAACTTTTTTATTCTGGTTTCATAATCTGTGACTTCACTCAGACGTCTCCAGGAAACAGAGTGTCCTTAAAGAGTTCTGAGCTGCAAACCCATGATTTCAGCTCAACATGTGCCAAAGACCTGTCAGGGCTAGTCTCTCATCTCCAGGCGTCTCCAGGTCCAGATCTCTGATCCTGTCATTGTATTAGACACTGATCTGCATCACCAGAGTCCAGTCAGAACACAGGGGACTGGACTCTCCGTCCTTGTCGTCCCTGATGAGCCCACCCTGTAGTCCCACTCCATTTTTACCACAGAACGGAGTCGTTCAGACTCAGTGAAGAAGATCATGAAAATTTTAAGTCAGGTCCACCTGGTAGTCCAGGACTCAGGTACCTGAGTGAGGCCTCTCAACTTTAGACTTTAATGTGAGGACTCCTGTGGGTTTCCACCTCAATTATTTCTAACCCCCATCCTCCCTCTTATCCCCCCCACCCCACCCCCCCAGCCTGCTCTGGGTTTGGACCAACTTGCTGTGTCTTTTTGTTCCAGTCTGGTTTTTACTCCATCACAAAAATCTACAGCTGTGGCTGAAGGAGCTGCTCACAGCTGTGTGTGTGTGTGTGTAGGGGGTGGGAGTGTAGGGGGTGGGTGTAGATCCAGTCAGTGGAAATCAATGATGGAGTTTATAACCTGCTGTGGAGTAAAAAGCCAGTCTGACTTCACTTTGGATAAGTGTTTATGTGAGGACAGAAGAGAGAGAGAGAGAGAGTGTGTGTGTGTGTGTGTGTGTGTGTTTGATAATCTGTGCATGGTTACGTGTGTGTATAAATATATATAAAGATAAGAATATTTAAAGATGTACTGTGCATCTGTTTTATACTGAGAAGGTGTGTGTGTGTGAGAGAGAGAGAGAGAGAGAGAGAGAGCTTTGTGTGTGGTAGAAAAACGAACGTCCACCAGTTCATATCAACGTGTGATGTTTTTTTTTTTTCGCTTGATATTTTTTTTTCTGTAATTCTCACAACCTCCACTAGTCCTAATTCCTGTGTGTTTTACAGTAAGTGCTTGATGAGTGACGTTGTACAGAGTTCAGGTCCAGCGTGTGGGTCTCCCGGTCTGCCAGCAGTGGCCGCTGTTCCCACTTTGGTGTAAAGGACACTGTTGACCTGACGCCAACACTGACTCTGTGTTTACATGTGGTTCATCCTCCGGGTGTTCCCCTTTGTTTTTCGTTGGTCAGTGGAACTTGTTGCCTGTAGAGGTCAGCGATGCTCTGGCACGCTGTGTTTGTCTTCACGCCTCCTCACGTCACCTCTGACAGCTGTTGTTTATAAGAGAAGAGACTCTTTCAGCACATGTGCACTACATCACAATCATTCACGCACACATATACACACACAGATTGTGTGTGTTTTCTGGCAGTTGAGTAATCAGCCAACAGGAGTGTTAGTGTGTGTGTTTTTTTTTTTTATCCCAGACTTGGAATTGAACCAGGTTTGAGCAGCTCCACCTTGGATCTGAAGTCTTTGTCCATCAGCAGAAGAAGACAGTGATGCTAGTTTGTTGCATTGTTTTATTTAGACATTCCAGTAACAGCACTGTGGCTCCTGTCAAGTCTGAATGCCTCTGTGCCTGCACCAAAGGAGAACAGCAGAGAGGTAACGTTCTAGATGTTCCCTGGCAGGAGAACCCGGCACCACACTGTCCCAGATTTGGAAATGTTTCTGTGTCTACTGCAGTATCTACAGTACTTCTGAGTATTCGACAGCTGGGTCAGGCCCCACCCCCCAACCGCTGACACCCTGCTGTGACCCCTCACTAAGAGTCTGTGCTGTGGTGCCATCAGTGGCCGTGTTGGCATTAGCTGCAGCACTGATTCACCAGGAGTAACAATATTTGTGTGTTTGTGTGTAAATGTGAGTCATTCAGGCCATCTGCTTCACACACACACTTTAGCTTGTGTGTGGTGATGATGGTCCAACCATCTGCTGCAGACTGAGGCCAGTGTCACTTTCTCTGCTGGAGTCATTAATCTCCAGCTCTGAGCCTGCTGACCACACACACACACACACACACACACACAGGGTCAGTTTGGCCACCAACGATATCACCACTACCCAGCATCCTCCAGGCCACTCTGTTCTGTCCAATTTACTCAAACACTTGGTCTTTGTCAAATTAGTGCAACTGTTTACCCAGCATACACCTGTGCTGCTCTTTTTCAGAGAACTTAGCAGAAGGTTCTCCAGGTTCCTCCACAGACTAGTTTGATGTTCTGAACTGACCATAGGTGTGAATGTGAGTGTGAATGGTTGTGACGCCCCCTTGTGACTCAGTCTGAGCTCACACTTTAGTGTCCGAGTGAATAAATGTCACACGTCTGCTGGGCCTCTGTACAGGGGTCAGAGGTCAGAGACATGTGTCTGGACACAAGGAGGATTAAACAATTTTAAAGAATTTAGATCTGTGGATGAACAGGGTTATGACTGCCACAAAACACACACACACACACACACACACACTCTCTCACACACACAGTGAATGTAAAGCTCATATGTGTCAGTGGTGTCCCAGTTGGTGGTGTCAGTGTCGTGTCAGTGTGTGAGGAGGTCGATCAGTACAAAGGCCTTTGTTGACTTGACTCTTGCAGACGATGGCAGTATTTTCCACCTTGTGTGTCACGGGGGGGAGGAGGGGGGGGGCTGTGCACTGTAAAAGCTTGAGACACATTAAGATGGGGAAAAAGAAAACACTGCTAGAGTTAAACCAGTGCAATATCTCTTTATTTTTATTGTGGTAAAAGCATGTTGTTGTCAATCTTACCTAACGACAATAATAAAGTTTTTTTTATGATCCCTTGCGGCTGGGACTCTTTTATTTGTTTGTGTTTTTCCCACCACTCTGCTCCATCATCATCATCATCATCCTTTATCTGAGGAATCCTGCTTTTTACATTTAGGCCGTGTTTGTGCTGCTGGTTTCACAGGAGCTCGTAAACCATGGCTGACGATGGTCCGCGGGCTGACAGCTGTTAACACATGACATATGACATCATCACACACTCACACTCAGGTCTCAGCTCGGTTCAAGACTGATTATACTGAGCATTAAACAATGTTCCAGGTTCACTTCTCTGGAAGTCACATGTGGGACAACCTTTGGCCCGGGGACCACTGTGGTCTGCTGTGTGGATCATCAGAGTCCAGGATCATGGGTTTATGAAGAATCCCTGACCAGGACAGATGTTTCCTCCAGGACTCTGAGACACTTGTCTGTCTGCTGCAGGAAGGGGGTGAGACAGAAGACCAGGCATCTGAGGGGTAACACACTGGAGAAGTGGTAAGAGACTTTGCCTTGCAGCAAGAAGTCAGCAGTTCAAACCCATGGCCATTTACCTCTTTGGCTGAGCCCCCCGACCCCCAACCATAAAGTCTCTGTTGCAGCTCATGATGGTGAGTTTAAAGAACCTGTGAAGAAAAGTGAGTTTTCTTTCATCATCTAATCTTCAGAGGCAGCACTTTTAAATAACGATGTTTAGATCTGTGTTGTTTGTTAGTCCCCCACCCTCACCCCACCCTTTCTCACCTCCTCCCTCTTCTCTCCCTACAGTGATTCATGCTACTGATCCGAGGGGGAGTCGTTCGTTCTCATCAGCTGCTGGAGTCTGAGCAGAAAAGTGACACTAAATGGTCTGTGAACTCATTTCCCTGCACTGCTGTGTATTATCACTAAAGTGTCTCCATCCACTCTGGGAAGCACCGGCTTTTCTCCTGCTCTCCCTAATGGGCCGACTGCTGGATGTGGCCCACGGTCTCATCCAGTCTCTGCGGGAGATTTCAGCAGGTCTTAATGGACTTGAGAGGCAGATTCAGCTGAGCCTGCACTGCATTTACAGAGGGGGGGGGGGAGTAGAGGGGGTGGGGGGGGGCGAATGACCGATCGCGCGAAAGCGCACACAGCCGTGGGGCGTCCCAGATTTGGGGTGGGCCGTAGAAGAACAGGGGTAAAAGCTGAGCTCCATCAACTCTCCTCTGTTCGCACTTAGTGTTGAAGCACTCACTCTCCCGCCAATCGACTGACGAGGTCAAAGGTGGCCTCGCCTGATTCGTACACCACCTACTGCAGCTTTCTGGGATAATTGGTTCACCCTCTGTTCCCCTCCTGCCCCACCCTTACTCTCCTTGCGTTCTCGATTCCATCCATCCATCCAGGCGTCCGTGGGGAGCTGTCGGAGAGTGAGGGGCCTCCCTCTCAGTCTTTACTGCAGGTCCTGAGGGGAGGCAGGTCCACACGGAGGAGGGGAGGCAGGTACACACGGAGGAGGGGAGGCAGGTACACACGGAGGAGGTGTGGAGCTCTGACAGAAGGCAAACAGTCGGGCTGCACACAGAAGAAAAGTGCAGAGGAGCGGTGACAGGCGGCCGTGCGCGCTGATGAATTGCCGGCTCTGCATGACTGGGCAGAGAGAGGGGTGAGGGCAGAGTGGGAGGAAACAACTGATGGGACACAGCCACGTGCCATCAGTCAAAGATGAAAAGACTCACTGGTCTGAACAAGTTCACATTTAACCCGTTAAAGAGCGGCACAAACCTGAGAGACGATCGAAGCGATGGGCTCTGCTGCTGAGGACGACACTGCGTCCATCCGTCTTCTACACTGGTCCTCGGGAGACCCAGGGGGTGAAAAAGGTTAGAGTCTAAACAAGTCAGCAGTTCATCACAGAGACGTAACCATTCACACCTTCAGCAAACTGAACCGACAGCCTGGTGAAACTAGACCCAAGAACCAACAAAGGAAAAAGACAAACAGAAAAAAGACAAAGTGAGTGAAATCATAAAAGGACAAAATAAATCTTCCTTCTTCTAGTTCTTCTTCTTGCTACATCAGTTTCAACAAAACAAACATAAATGCCAGAGAAAAGCTGAGGAGCAGAAAATCATTAATATCTGAAAGTGTGTGTGTTCACACTCCCTCCACTCTATAAATCTCTGCAGCGACACTTGAAAACACTGCAGATGGAGAAAGTGCTGCTGCTGCTTCTGCTGCTGCTGCGGTGGTTCTCGCAGATTGTTGCCTTTGACACTTTGATGGCAGAGGCAACTCTAGTACACATTTGATATGATCTCGCAGGCCAAATATGATTACACTGTGGGCCAGATTTGGTCCCCGGGCCTGAGTTTGACCTGTGTTGCATCAGAGGGAGACAGATTTGATGTCTGTGGTCAGTGAAACATTCAGACTTCTCCCTGAACCTCTGGAACATTTACATCTACTGCACTGATCATTTCAACCACCAGGGACAGCAGAGATTAAACTTACTTTTGTCTCCAACTTCCCCCATTGGCCTTAATGAGCAGAGCGTTGTGATTAAATCTACCTGCTGATTGGCCAAGGGCTGGTAGAGCGAGATGGCCTCCCATTAGTCCCTGTGTTGTAATTGGTCTCTGTAGGCAGCAGGTGGCAGAAACTTAATGAGGCCTGTTGTGGCTGATGTATGGTACCGTAGCATCAGAGCACCTGAGATGATGACGCCTGTGAGAGTAATAGTGCATGAAATAGCTGCTCCTGAGAGGAGGAGGAACAAGCTGCAGTCACTGTTTGGACTGGAACTAAAACAGTCCCTCTTGTTGAACTACGTGGGTCAGATGGATCAGGCATGTGGATGGTGACCAGTACCAGTGACCAGCTGTCGGTCTGGTCCGTTCATGGGCCACACAAACAGTTATAACTGGAAACACAGAGGAGACCAGGAGGTCCTTACCCAGTGTGCTGATTGGACCGACTGCAGTGACATCATCCTGATGTTTTAGGCCACGACCCGTGAACTGATGTGGTGATATATACACTGTATGAACATGTCGTGTTATTGTTCTGTCAAATGTTGAAAATATAAACATATATCTGTATATATATTCATATATATATATATATACATATATAAACAGTATATACAGACATACAGTATATGTGTATATGTGTGTATATATATATACATATATACACATATACATATATGTACAAATATGTATATATGTATTTACAGTATATGTGTATATATATATATATAGAGTATATATGTCTTACAAACTCAAACTGTCTTTCTGTGTGTGTGTGGTTTACAGGTGAATCCACAGACGTAGAGAGACAAAGAACTTCCACCTGACCGACTGAACAAAGAGGCTGTTGCTCAACAAAACACTGGTAGGAAGGGGTTAAAAGCTGTGTGTGTGCATTTGCCCGTGTTTGTGTGTGTTGGTGCACACGAACCTTGCGTCTCCATCAGTGTCGAGCTGATTGATTGGGTCGTCAGCAAAGATAAAAGATCCCGTCCTCACAGCATGGCCATAGTACACCCAGGGGAGAGAGAGAGAGGGAGAGAGAGGCTAACATACACACTGGGATTCCTGTACTGAATACAGATCTCTGTCTCTCTCTCTCTCTCTCTCTCTCTCTCTCTCTCTCCTGGTTATGTTTATTCTGTGACCAGTCTGTTGGTCTGCTGCTTTTCAACTACAAATAATATGTATGTAGATATATTTAAATACATATACTGCATATATATATATATATATATATATACTATATATATATATATACCTCCAGATTAGCCTGTGTAGATTAAGAGCTGCAGGGGGCGCTGCTCAGTTTTCTTCTTTGTTTCATCTCTGTCTTTTTTCCTCATTTATTTTGGTCTGGAGTTTCTGGTGGAGGTTACTTTATCATTCTGTGTGTGTGTGTGTTTAAATCACAATTTTGCTCGTTATAGACCCAGGCTCTCCACCATCTCCTCCACCCTTTATTGATTTGAACTCTCTCTCTCTCCCTCTACTCTCTTATGCCCCCTCTTCCCATCTCTCCCTGTTTTTCTTTCTCCATCACTACATTCATTTTTAAGGTCCCCCTGCACCCCCCTCCCTCTTCTGATTAGACGGTGAGGAGCTGTGTTACCTCTGACATCTCAATCAGACAGGAGCAGCAGAGTTTGTTTGCAGAGGAAAACTTCTGACAAGATATACCACACACACAAAAACCTGAAACACAAAAACAAGCCAAGAGTCAAAGGTCTTACGGGGTACTTGGTATGCTAACCTGGGGTCAAATGTCATTCCCAGCCTTGAAGATCACCAAAGTAAGATGGCAGAGGTGAACTAGAGGTGAGACCAGTTAGCACAGAAGGTAAGTGAAACTCAATGAGGACATGAATAGTGAGTGCAGTACAGTGAAAAATGATCTGCTGCTTCATTTACTTCAAATACTTAGATAGAAAATACTTGCAGGACAACAGTACTGTAGAATTTCAAACGTTTCTGTAGAAATTCAAAGGTTTCAAACTCACTGAGTCACCAGTCATCTGTTGATGTTCTTTTCTTCTCTGTACATTTTGACTTTTCCAATTGTCTCCTCTTTTTTGCTGGTACTGTAAATCCTCCCCATCCTCCTGAAGGCCCAGATCATCATCATCATCACCAGCCTGTCCACTGGTGTGAGTGTGTTCCTCCCCAGGACAGCTGAGCTGGCAGCCCCATCATTACCTCCCTGTTCACTCGTGTGGCGAACACGGACTCTCACCCTCTGTGCTTCATCAATGTCACTCACTAAAGGGAAGAACAAATGCATATTCAATTACCAGCAGGGCTTTAGTGGCATTAGAATGTAAATTACCCAATTAAGCCATAGGAGGGCAGTGTTTGATCAAATTAGGAGCCGCCCGTTTTGTAATAAAATGGCCATATTTTTCGGAAATAACAAAGAAAACGGTGTTGTTAGAGTCGACTGTGCTGAGAAAGCAGGATAAAAAATGCACTCATTTAAATATGTGCCTGCATTTGATGGCATTCATTTAGGAATTATTTTTAAATTGGCTTCAGCAGACATGAAACAATTATTCAGAATTGTGATCAGAGCCTTTGGTTGGTTTATAATAGAATATACTGCACTGTCCCTGTGGGAAAAGCTGCCTTGGACCCGAGAGCCAAGAAAAGTATGTTAATAAATAAGTATACATAGAATCTGTAAACCTGTTAGAATGTGTGACGAAAAAGTAAAAAAAAAAAAAAAGTTAACTTATGTAGGAAAAACAAAGACAACCGCGGGGGTTGAAAATTAATTTCGAAACCGTTTTATTAAAAAAAGTACTTTATAAAGTGAATGTCAACACAGAGTTGTTTTTCTAGGGGCGTTTGAACGTGTTCTTCCAGAACAATCTGATTTCCAGGTACTGACAGAGAGTAACTTTAGTAATCTGTAGGATACAGTAGCTGATTACACCTGCCTAAAGCCTTTGTTATTACAGTACCTTTAACACAAATGACTGAATACGCCACAGTCCCACTGATTGTATTTTGAAATAATATTAAACATAGAATAATTAAATATAGCAAACGTGGACGATGATTCCAGAAATGAAATTTAATTCTTACACACAGTGGTCAGTAAAGTACTTTTAAACTTGGCCGTGACACGAATCTCTTGGGTTTTTTTTAAACATAGCTGCAAAAAGCCTGCTTTTCCAATTTAAGAGGTAGAATAAAACCGGCCCCCAGGGTAGCTGCTAGCCGCGGCGGCGCTGGCACGTCGTTAGCACGCACGCACGCTTGAGTGACGTCATCCAATCGGCAGGCGTGTTCTCACCTGGTCAGTATGATACCGGAAGTTTGAGAAGCAACACAGAGAAGCAAACTAGGAATGAAAATAAAGAATTCCCTCTTCCCTCCGATCCTCTCGTTATTCAAATAACTGTTTCCAGATAACGTTAGTAAAATGGTGAGAACTCATGAAAGAAACAAAACAAGAAAAAAACCCCAACAGGTTAAGAAACGAGACCAACAGCTACACGTGGCTAACATCGCATTAGCATTAACATCGCACAACATCCTACTGGTGAGTCCTGCAGATTTTTTTGGAATTATTCAAAAACTCACGTGTGTGTTTGTGTGTTGTAATGAATCCCAGAAAAGTTGTTAACGGTAGTTGAAGTACCACAGGTTGTGACAGTAATAAAGTGTTAAATATTTTTATGTACATACACAAGAACACACTGCTACATACCACTGTGTTCTTTTATACCCCCCACACTCCCTTCCATCCTGATAAACAGGTGAAACAACATTGTAATTTGTTCTCAGTCAGATTTACATGCGCAGAAACAGAGGCAGGTCTCTGTTTATTTATTTATTTCTAGTCGTTATTGTTTTTGATGTATTGTGGGATATATGAAATATTTACACCTGCCTGAAAACATTGTGCTTTTCCCCTATTTAAAACACCCCAATTTCACTGTGTTTGATTTTATTTAATAACAAAGATGATTTATTTTTGTAAATTATTTTTTCTGTTGTTGTTGCATCAGGAATGTAATAATCCTGCTTTTTACCTGCACAATGTTTTTTTCTACATATTTTTCTTTGCAGGATTTAAAAACCTTTCAGGAGCTGATGTTTTTGTCGCTGTAGTTTCCTGATAGCCAAGGTCATATCAACCCAAATGTTCAGAGGCTGTCACGTCCACCTGTGTCAGTAGGTTTTGTTTTGTGATTTTCTGAATTTCCTTTGTTCATTGTCTCCTCTGGGACTCACTCTGTAAAGACAATAATTCAATCATTTGGAATGAAAATGATTTCTTCTCTGTTCTCTGATCCCTGCTGGGATGTAATCATTGTGTACTTGTTCGTGGACAAAGCTGTGCTCACATGACAGAGTAGATCATTATTATCACAGACTTGGATTTTTGTTAGAGTGACAGACCATAAAGTAAAGAGAATAATTGAGGCAGCGACATGTTGAGATGTGCTGTTACAGAGTGAAGCACTTTGCTTGATCTAAAAGGAGGCCACAGCTCTCAGGAGGAGCCTCGGTGCTGAGGAGTGTTGGCTGCTGTCTGTATGCAGATGAGCTTCACAGAGTGGCCTGGTTTCATGATGAGTGGATCAGAGAGTGGTCAGTGGTGGAGGCTCATCATCAGCTCAGACAGTGATCTGTTGAATGTACACTTTAGGACACAGTCGTACTCTGTCTCTGTCTCTCCTATCCTTTATTTGTCAAAGTTCAAATTATACTCATGTATTTGCTGTACTTACACTAAATAACAGATCTGAGTTAAAAAGACAGAAACTGTTGCTCCGATTTTTCTCTAATTCTTTAGTCGATAACAGACTGTTCACTGTGATCCAAGCCTGGCTTCACAGGATACAGTATGTACAGTGGACTCCTATTTGTGTAATGACTGTGTGACTGCTGTGACACATGATGCATGTTCTGGGATTTCAGAGGACCTGTGTGTTGGTATGTCAGGTTATTTTGGGGGTTTTCTGGCCCTGCCATCGTCAGATTATACAGAATATTAGATCTGCTTCTCCTGAGGATTTGGTGATGCTGTCAAAAAAGATGAGAAGATGGAGGGTGAATGCGTGTGATTTTGTTGGATGAAGCTCTCACAGCTGAAGCAGCCCCCTCCTCTCTCTCTCACCCCCCCATTTATTTCTTCCCCTCACTTTTCCCTCCTCACAACGTTCACTCAGATCCACTGTGCAAGCTCTGCTTTCAACTTCTGCCTTTGTTCTTTGTTTTTCCCTCTCTCCTGCTCTACAAACCCCTCAGTTGCAACGTGTAAAATGAAGAGAGAAAAAAAGGCTTCACGTTCCCAAAGTTTTCAAAACCCTGGAAAAATAACACGCCCCAGCTGAACAGGCTGAATCCAAGCTTCTCTGCTTGAGACTGTTTTGACTTTTGATTATCTTTGTTTGCACATATTTTGCTGTTGTACTTCCAGTGTGTCTTTGAACAGAGGGAACTCAGGGATCAGTGCATCTCCAGGCTGCAGCTAACAGAGTCCTGACTCTGGGGGACTGGAGCTGTGACTGATCTGACTCGGCTGTTCTCAGCACCTCTGCTGATTAAATTAATGACCCACAGAGGTTTCAGGTTGAATACTGGAGTCCTGGTCAGAGTTATAGGTTGGAGTGTTGCTGTCTCAACTTAAAAAAAAAACAACCAAACTTTAATCCTCCATATGTCCTCCAATTGGTTGATTTTCGTCTTGATAAGATGATAAGGAACTGGTCAACTTAATGAAGGATACATTTAAATAAATATCTGTTTCCTTCAGGAACAATCCTACAAACTGGAACCACCTTTTTTTAACTGCTGTTTCTGTGTTTCTGCTGCTGTTCGTCCTTGTCCTGTTGCTGCTGGAGTTGACCCTGCAGTAGAAAGCTGTCTGCTGCTCCAGTCCTTGGACACACTCCCTGCTCCGCAGGCACAAATACATAGAGAAGGTTTTTTAAATTTGGGAACAAGAACCTGAGAAGTGTGAGAAATGATCCTGCCAACTGTGACCTTCCTCACAGCGAGGCCTGAGCAGAGTGAAACGTACTGCACACGTACATTCTCTGAGGTAGAGTTTAAGTCTAGAGGGGAGTCTTAGGGTAGGAGTTTGTAGCAGCAGTGATAAGTGGATGGAATAATGGAGGTAATGTTCCGTTTTTGTTATTCTGCCCGTGTGTTGAATACTTCAAATAATTAAATCTGAATAATTTCACAAATATGTTTAACAATACATTTTGACAGCACCAGGTGTGACAAAAATATAAATAAAAATGAAATATTTTAGACCCAGAGTCTCAATGGGATAAAAATATTTTCCTAATATGAACCTGAATCTGAATAAGGCTAAAAACAATTGTCTGGATTCTAGAAACCTGAAGTAAAAAAAACCACACCCCTATTCAAAATACAGCTAAACTTTGATAAAAACACATAAAATAGTTTGTTAAATGCACGATCCTGCACCAAAGAACCAGACTGTGGTCCGTTCTCCACTGGACCTGCAGAGACAGCAGGACACTGCTCCTCCTCTTCATCCTCCTCCTCCTCCTCCTCCTTCTGTCCCCCAGAGAAGAGACAGCTGTGAAATGAAGGTGTTAATTATTCATGTGCTAATATGTATATATTTAAACTGCAGGAATGGAGACCAGCATCCGGGACGGCTCTTTCACACACATTTATAATGATTAAGTGAGTGTGTGTGTGTGTGTGTGTGTGTGTGTGTGTGAGTGGGTGGTAGAGTGGACACAGGAGGAACACTGTTCAAATCTGTGTGTGTGTTTAATTACTTCTCACTATGTTTAATTATTGCAGAGTTTCATCATTAACATGCAGTTTGTGTTTGTTTGTGTTTTTCCAAATACAGAGTACTTATGGGAATACTCGAGGCCTGAGAAGTATACACCTGAGTGTGTGTTTAAAATAAGGAATAACTGTTGCTTGTTTCTTTTGCACACGCTCATATTTGAAGCTTTGTATTTAGAAAGACTACTTTTAAAATAATAAACACTCACATATATTTATGTACAAATATATATTTTATATATAAAACCAGTGATTTGGATGATGGATGTAGTCAGTCAGAACCAAGTTGTGACCCACTGATCAGACCTCTGTAGGTCATTAATTATTAATTAAACAGCTGAGTCAGATCAGTCACAGCTCCAGTCCCCCAGAGTCAGGACTCTGTTAGCTGCACTGATCCCTGAGTTCCCTCTGTTCTCAGAGCTACTACAAACCTATAGTATTCTGTACTAAAATAAAATAAAAAAACACCATCACATCTGATGGATAGTTGGGTCACTGAAACAACTCTTCACGTTGTAGATGAAGCCAAGGACACCTTCACTGCACCACAGGTCAACATCAGGTGATTAGATTAACCACAAATCAATTTAAGCATCGGCTCATCGATCACTTAATTGATCAGCTGACCTATGAGATAATCAATTTATCACTACATGAACATCCAAATCTCTGATGCAGTGTCTGAAGGTTGAGTAGATGTTGGCAAGAGCCTGATGATACGATACGTACCATGAATATGATATATTTCAATATACTGCGATACTACAGACACGACGATATATTAAGTTTTTTCCCCCCAATGTAACTGTAGTCAAAGTGTCATCATAGTAAAGACTCTGCTGCTGTTCCATCTGAACATCAGGTTACTAACATTGGAACAGAGGGATCTACATTTGGAATCAATGAACCAACACCAGGAATATTTGACTGGGAATTGGTGATAAAAAAAATCAGTACACTGATGGAGGAGATTGATACGGTAAATATCATGATAATGTGATATTTCAGTGAATGGATGTTTTCTTCCAGCCTAAATGCTGTAGTGACGGTGGTTAGTTCAGGTGATTCCTCTCTCCACGTCCAACTCAAACATTCTGTTTCTTCTTCAGTCACTGCTTCTCTCTCCAACACACTTGTCAGCTGCTTTTGATGGACTGGGCAAATTCACCTCTTCAGGCTTTATTTCTAATTTTCAATGATGGGCTTTCTGTTACATGTAAAAAACACAGTGATTATCCTTCGTGCTCGGGTTGAGCCTCGTCCCTGGGAGCAGCACCGACTCCAGCTCTGATAAAATATTCTGGATAATTTTGGGCAGCAGTAATGAATTCAGAGTAATTGGTTCCTCAAAGGGAAACCTGTCAAGTGGATTTGGCTTATTTATTCTGAGACCTTCAAAAAGTGAATCAACTTTTGTTGAGCAGCAGAGAGCACAAGGCTGCTGAAAATAATATATAAAAAATACAAGCCCCGGCTGAGGGATTTGAAGCTAACGGTTGGAAAAGTTTTTTTGAGGCCAAGACCCAAATAAGATTTAAAATCTTTGGCCCCCAGGACCAAGACTTATTAAATTGGTCTCGTTATTATTCATGTTAAGTCCTGGGCTGAGGAAAATAAAAATGTTCTGGATATAAACCTGTGGTGAGTCAGAACAGATGAGAAGAACATACAGTATTTATGTTCTCAGTTCTGGGGCTGATAATATTCTGTTAAATTTGGGCTTATTAGCTGGACTTTTCAAAGATTTAATTAAACTCTTATAAAGTTTGAATCCTTCAGCCCATATTTATTTAATGGCCTGAATTTATGAGCTGCTGCAGTGAGAAGAACTTTGTTGGGTTGGAGTCTGTAGGACCAGGGCTGAATGTTTGGGAACTCAAGTACGAGTTCTTCTAGAACATGTTTTTACCGGTGACATGACGGATGAACTACTGGATTATTTACCAACATTTACCCACAATTCCCAGCTTGGCAAAATCTTCATTAGGCTGCTAAAAAATAAATGAATAAAGACCCAAATTTACAGATGTTACAGAAATGACCGAACAGCAGTGACTAAGAAAATCAAAAAATATATACTGATTAAACACTATATAAGGTGACCTCTGACCCCACTGGTTGGTTGGTGGCCTTTGAACTTTACTAGTTGTCAGAGTTTGCTGTGATCCCTGATCAGACGATGTTTAGACAAATGATGTCCGTCAGTCTGTGTCCCTGCCTCAGTCATGACAGCTCACTGCTGCAGCTGATGATGATGATGATGATGATGATGATGATGATGATGCAGTGGGTAGTAGCAGTAGCAACATCAGCAGCCTTCTGTTGCTCTGTTGTGGCCTGGTCTCACTGTGGGACAGGTCCAGTGTCCACCTTCCCTTGTCCCCCTG